CACAAAGTTACCAAAACACCCCCAGACTCACCCCATTTCCCCTACCAATCCACCCCCACAGTACCTGATATACCAATCCTAGCATTCCTACTATTATTTCCGTATTTTTCCGTATTTTTATCGCCCATCATTCTATCCCTATTCCTCTATGTATCTACCCTAGCTCCAGAGCCCATACCTAGCCCCATACATCCTCCCCATACCCTGCATCCAGCTATCCTAGCCCTACTGCACAATTACCCCCCATTTTCCTACCCTATCCTACCCCTTACCCCATCCCCTACCCATCCCCAAACCACCCCCTACCCCGGGGCCACACCCCATACCTACCCACCTATTTTTTCACGCATTTTTTGCCTATTTTTTCGCCCATTTTTCCAGCCAGAATACCCACCAGCACCACTGCTCTTTAATAAAGAGCCCTTATTACCATGGGCCAGTAAGATGATGGGCTCTCTGTATAGAGTCCCAGTCTTACTACAGGCACTCTTTATAAACAGGCTACATCATCTGGTGCTCCCAAGGATGGCGACGCACCTCTGCCGACGAACACCTACAGGATCGCCCTCATCGATTTGCTCGCGCTACGTCTACGTCTCTTCGGTAACGTCATCCGACGCACCCTTTTCTCCAAAGACTTCATGGGTGTCCTTCTCTCCGGCATGGAGATGTACCTCGAGCTCCCGCTCAAGACAAGGCCTTATCCTCACGAGGCGGTGATCCTTGAGAACACGGCATGAGAACTGTCTGGAGCAGAGAAGGGATCGCGGGCTTGGGCTCTGAAGGTACGCTCTTTCTCATGCCTTGCCATTTTCTACTGCACGTGGATGCCCTGTTGCGGATCACAGTGGTCTATGCGTGAGCAATCGCCTATGGCGACACAGATGGCGCAGGTGTTTATTCCAATGAGCGTTCTCTACGGGTTGCGGTTTCTGCAGGCGTACATGTAGAAACATTACAATGTGAGCCGGGATCTCCGTGCACTGACATTGTAATGTGAGCCAGAACCTCTGGCTGCTTCTCAGGCGCTATTCTCATGGGATCACATTATAATGTGGCTTCAATGCTTCTATTGCATACCGTCCGCTTTTGGATTACTACTTTATTGATTATTGATTTGGCCTTCCTTTTCTTGCCTTATCCTAGGGTTTCACCCTAATTGGGATGTGGCACTGGCTACTACTGGAATTCTCCCTGCTCCCTGCGGCCTGCCCCTGCTCTTACCCTGCTCCCTTCCTCTTACACTTCATTTTGAGCATACCAGTAGAACATAATAAGTTTTATGAGCATGCACAGAGCAAATCTTGAACATAAGTATCCTGCCTTAAAAGCCCTGCATACATTTCGAAAAATTAGCTGTTTTGTGTGGCCCAAATGTGGCCCAACTCCTCTGCCCTGCTCCTGCTCCTGCTCTTGCTCTGGCAGTAGGATACTTTATATTATGTATGTTTTGATACACTAATATGAGATAGATATCAGTGTAGAACTGCTACTATGTACTGTCCCTCCTAAAAGTCTGAACAAAGTTCGCTTTTTGTGTGGCCCAGGTGTGGCCCACCTCCTTCCTGCTCCTGCATTTTTCTGAAACAGATACACATCATCATATATACATATACTGCCTCAGAATAGTCATAACTTCGTTCCTAAACACCTTTATCAGCTTTGCTCAGATTTAGAATGACCAAAAAAGTATTTTCAGGGGTGTGGCACTAGGGGTACTTCAGTTCCCTGCCTCAAAATATATTACAGTACAGGCATACAAGTGTCAAACTTGATTTATTGGAGGTTAGGTTATGAGCACTTTTCACCGATCCTAGGAAAACTTTTACATAGTAAACCCTAGGTGGAGACCTAACCTCGAATTAGGGTTAGTCCTACCGGGCCGCGGACAAGAGCGAAGGCGAAGAGAGATGCACGACAGCTGAATATCGCCAGCAGAACGTGGCAGTACCGGTGCTGCATTCCCCAATGGCTGTAAGAATTTGAGGTTCTCTGGATCATATTCAGCGAAGGCCATAATCCGTCCATGACGGAATATGCAGTGAACGCAATAAAACTCGTGGTGCAGGTTAAGCAGGCCACTTTTTGGAGGGACAGGCAGCGGCGAGTCAAAGAAGGGCACGCCACAGGGTAATGCGTGCAAGGCGCAATCCGTTCGGGACGGAATACGAGGGAGCGAGGAGTCCGTCGGGTAAATCCGGGAGAATAGCCAACGTATTTAAGCATCGTGGAATTTTCATGCACAGCGCGCTACACATGCGCAGTTCCGTCCTGGACGGAT